ATTCACGTCACCACCGCTAAGCTAAAGGAGGCTAATGTTGGGCTATAAAGGAACTACAGCACGGTCACATGACTTCACGTCACCACCGCTAAGCTAAAGGTGGCTAATGTTGGGCTATAAAGGAACTACAGCACGGTCACATGACTTCACATCACCACCGCTAAGCTAAAGGCGGCTAATGTTGGGCTATAAAGGAACTACAGCACGGTCACATGACTTCACGTCACCACCGCTAAGCTAAAGGAGGCTAATGTTGTGCTATAAAGGAACGACAGCACGGTCACATGACTTCACGTCACCACCGCTAAGCTAAAGGTGGCTAATGTTGGGATATAAAGGAACTACAGCACGGCCACATGACTTCACGTCACCACCGCTAAGCTAAAGGCGGCTCATGTTGGGCGTGATGATGTTTATGCTACTTTTTCCTACTGTTCCATCTGCTTCTATTGTATTCTACAGTTTCCTGTTTTGATACTGTATTTGAACTAGGTGTGTGTGTGTGTGTGTGGGTGTGTGTGTGTGTGTGTGTGTGTGTGTGTGTGTGTGTGTGTTGTGTGTGTGTGTGTGTGTGTGTGTGTGTGTGTGTGTGTGTGTGTGTGTGTGTGTGTGTGTGTGTGACGTATGTGTGTGTCAGTGTGTTTGCTGCAGAGAAGTGCTGCTCACTGATGGTCGTCTAATGGTTTCACACAAACCCTCGGTCTGACTGGCCATGTGATTCCCCTCATCACTTTGTGTGTGTGTGTGTGTGTGTGTGTGTGTGTGTGTGTGTGTGTGTGTGTGTGTGTGTGTGTGTGTGTGTGTGTGTGTGTGTGTGTGTGTGTGCGCGCAACAGCAGTTTCCACTCCAGCAGGAACACTTTCTTCTTCTCCGTACTTATTACATTCAGCCTGAGTGACGGCACTTTTCCTTTTTTAGATTAAAGGAGCAGTGTTTGCTGTCTTTTGTCAGAAAAATCAGACTCAAGTTTAGTGCCAGGTACGCTTACACATACAAGGAATTAGCGTGTGTGTATGACGGTGCAAACATAAACAACAAGGAAATAAGAAAAAAACCGATTTGGCATCTAAAAAAATAATAAAGACAATTATTGACAGGACATTTAAATACAAAAAAGAAACAGAAAAACTTTTCAGTACAAAAATAAAAACAGGAAGAAAACTACAATATGTTAATGATCAATTCTAACGGAGTGTCACAACAGCATTGAAAGTTGTCCCTCCTCCAATAACTCTCAACGTCACGCTATTTTTGGCACTTTTTTCACCAACGACTGGATATATATAAAGGGATTATTTGATCAATAAAGTCACTTAGTTTTTTAGGAAAATCGTACTCATTCCGCTTTTAAGTTTACCACAATATATAAAGACTACAATTGTTACGATATCAGAGAGGACCCAAACGCAAGACACGGCAGAGTGTTTTCACAAACGGTTTTATTAGTGGACGAGGTGCGGGGAGTAGAATCCGGCTGGAGTGGCGAGGACGAGGCCGTTGTACGTCATTACGCCGAACACGTAAACACTCCTCTAAGTTAGTTTGCCCTGTTCTGCTTGAAAGCAAGAACCTGCCTCCTGCTAACTGTTAAAACAAACGCTTCAACTCGTACCATTTAGAATCTGTGTGTTTGAATATGGATCTTAAAGAGCCTGTGACACGAGTTTCCCCCATCATCCAAACCCATCAATTTGAGTAAATATTGTCCCCTTGAAAACCGTTACTGAACTGATTTTGGATATTTGTACTTTGATAACCATTAATCTGCCCTTCAAATTGACCATTTTCTGGATCTTCTCGGGGATTCTTCAAGTCCCGCCAAATTATGTGTGACCTCATTGCGGGCACAGCGCTCCAGCTGCACCGTTCAGGATCCCAGCATCTGCATGTAAACGCACGATGGCGCACACAGCAGCAAGCTCAGACAGCGATGACAGTTTAATTTTGAACGTGTCTGAGAGCTCGTATGAGGCTGAAGGATCGCTTTATGTTTTATCTGTTAGAAGTTTAGGAATTAGGTGCGTCAATATGGGCGATCATACGGTCATAGCCAGTGGTGGAATGGGACTAAAAATCATCCCGGGACTCTCGACCGGCCCACTTCGGTACCGCTAGTAAGTTGTCAACGGGGGGAGTGGGGGATGTCAGGGGCGGCGGGTGCTGTAGATAGTAAATGTAAATATGTAAATATTTGTGTCACTGCATCCTGGTAAAATACAAATATAATGCAATGTCTGTGTCTTTGACATTAGCGCTGCTAGCCACCTGTGCCCTGTACTACGAAGCCAGTTCAACAGACCCTGGATATGTTTGAGTAACAAACAAACTAACAACAACAAACTAACAAACGAGATCTCGCTAAGCGGTCCTACGACGCTGGTTATCAACTCGGTAAATCAAGCCATGGTTTCTCTCTCCGGCTGAGAGCGCGTTCACGTCTAAGACACGAGTGGATCTGACTTTAATTACATTTGACTCGAGTGTTTCGTCAACATAATGTGTTGCTTAAAATAATACTTTTGCATACAGTATGTGACACTGTAAGTGTTGCACGGCCAGATACGGCTGGAGAAGCTGACTGAGATAAGGAAATATATGATATATTATGATATTATATGATCGATGATCTGATTGATGATGTAATATGAATGATAAGTGCGACACGTCGGCGTCTTCTCTGCATACGGCAGTTTAAACTGTATTTCCTTTACCCTGTAATATGACTTGAGAGATTTAAACTCCGCACACTGAGTTGATCTCTTTTCTATAGACGCCGGAGGCGTAAAAAAAGTTATTTAGCCTTCCCAAACCTGAGCCTCACGCGCCGCCTATGGGGGATGTGCTAGTGACTTATCCGACCGGCCCACTTCGGTACCGGCCCATCGGGATTCGTCCCGATGGCCAGTCCGTGACTGCACCCAGCCCACGTAAACTGTCAACGGGGGGAGCCTCGCTGCGGGGAAACGGTGGACCTAGTGTCCCGATCGGAGTGGGAATAATAATAATAATAATCCGTCCATTTTATCCATTAATTTCCCCAACATTGTGGTGAAAAAAACACACGTTTAATCCATGTTGGTGTACTACAACTACAAAAAGCATCGGTTTGTTTTCTCATCAGGAAATGCAGACCGGCACAAACGATTTTTAATCATCATTCTCACGATCATTTAATGTATCATATGTTCGCCGAATTGACATGAAAGCACTAATAAATGTAGTTTCATCCACTTGAGTTTACAACTACAAAAATAATCGATTTGTTTTTATATCACATCCCACGGGAGGAAATTCAGCAGCTCTCACTACCGATTTTTAATCCTAATGTAATCATCATCTTCACCACGATCATTTATGTTTATGTTCGCCGAATTGACATGAAAGCACTGACAAATATGAATATACTGTAGTCAACTTAATTAAAACGTTATTAACGTGCCTAAACTCAGTAATTCACCATTTCTACGCATGACAACACACTTTGTCCGTGTTTGGCTCTCTCGCCGCACAGTGAAGCGTTCATCACATGATGAATTGGAAATGGGGGACCCTGATGTAAACAAGACGAAAGTCTTTCTCTGGTCTGCATCCCCTTAACAATTGTATGTTTTGAGCTGTACTGTACTGTACCCAATATACAAGCTGTTAATAAACTTTTCAATCAATCAATCAATCGTTCCCGCATTGACGTCACTTCCGGCTTCCCCCAAAACTTCAAAATGAGTCGAAGGAATTTCCCCGCGATGTTCGAAATTATTGATATTTAACGGAACGGTATCGCTTTTTCTTTTTTAAACTGACGGTTCGAGATTACTAGTAGCCCAATATTTCATTGCACAACAGTTGTTGGGATGCTGTCACAGGCTCTTTAAGTTGGCGTGACGTTGAAGCAGCGACCCTGCTGTAGTTCCTTTATAGCATAACGTTAGCATTTTGCTTCTGGGGACTAGATTTACGATTAGAACATTATAAAAGTAGGGTAGACATGTGGAGATTATCCAGCTGAACAAAACGTGACCCGTCTCTTAAATGTGTTTCAACCACAGACCTTATTTCTAGTGATGTTACGTATTGCGCAGAGGCTTCGGAGCGTGTGTCGAGTAATCCCCGAAGCTTTTTGTGAAGCTTGTATCGAGGCTTGTATCGTTTTGGGCCAGTGACGTCATTGATGACAAACGAAGCCTCGCTGCTTGTCAATACCACGTGACTGCTTCAGGAAGCGATTCAGATCGGTTGAACCACAACGCTCATATTACCCATGGATGTATAATAAAAACGATATTACCCCTCCTGTACCCGGGCCCGGTGACGGAATTAAGAGAGCTCAGACCCTCACTTATATAGAGGTTGGAACATGTCATAAGTATAAATAAATAAATGAATAAATACAGGAATAAATAGTATACAGTGTGTTCAGTCAAAATCAGTGTGTGTGCTGTGGCTTAGCTGGAAAGCAGTTGACTCACAACCGCAGGGTCCCTGGTTCAATGACTGAACAAAGAGAAAATGTAGCTAATAAATGTATTCTTTGATATGATTTAGCCTTTCTCAGGCTACAACATGGTTAAGTTTACGAATATTATTAAGGAATACAAATCCCTCTTTGCAATGTTTACCAGCCTCCTTAGGCTTTTCAATCACAATTAAACTGGAATAAATACAATGTTGTTAACATGAAAATATGATTTTATGTTCGTTGTTCGTTATTCTAAGGCTTTACTCAATGGGAACTCGGTATGAGATAGAGCACACTGTTGAGATGTCAAATCTGCCTGTTTTACATACTTTGACCAACAGGGGGTTTGTGTTCAAATGAAGCCCATGATGAAGCCTCATGAGATGAACCCTTTTGCGAACCAATTAGCTGGAAAGCTTCAAAGCTTCATAAGGCTTCATCTCGCCATCACTACTTATTTCCAGCTATTTTCCTAAATCTTATGGAGAAATTGCATTGCTTTTTGACGAAGGAACCGGAAGGAGTTTACTTCCGGGTTTTAGGACGCGGCACTCTTTTGGTTGTACAGCGATCTGGCGTAGAAAGGTTGTGGAGCCTCAGTTGATATGCTGTTGTTAAATGGCTTGATGGGAAGCAGGTGTGCAGTCGGGGAGGAAGCACAGCTGATTGCAGCAGGTGAGTGGGGGTTGAGCCGGGAACCAGGAGGGACAGCCACCACGCCCACACAAACAACACAGGCAGGGGAGAACAAACAAACAAACACAAAGGAGACGGCTGGAGGAGTACGTAAAGTAGTACTCATGATGTAACGTTATATATCAAATATTATTGGATTATAATGATTTATTCATAATGTGTTTAATATTCATAACTTTAATGTTGCAGCTGCTGTACTGTAAGTGGACCCCCCTTTGATTACTTGGAATACTGCTGGGATAATCTATATATTTACATCAGAGTGTATTCGTTTTTAATGTTTTGAATTATTTATATTTATCTGCAATGTAACTAAAGATATCGAATCAATTTAGTGGAGTAAAAAGAGTATTGTTTTTACTTTGAGATGTAGTGAATGAGAAGTATTAAGTAGCTGAAAATGGCCGTAATATGCAGGTGGTTCAACACTGAAATACACAACTTGAATAAATGTAGACAACTGATGACAGGAAATTCAAAATGATAAAAAGAAAGTTAGAGAGAAAATGGAGGTCGAGATAAAGATTTATTTTTAAAGAAACGTTTTCACAATAAAACTGCTTAAAATCTCTTAAAGTTAAAACGTCCTGTTCACTTTCCTATTGATCTGTTATCAGTCAGCTCTGTGTCTTTGATATTAATCTGTGATCACAAACATGTTGTCGGCACGGAGACATGTTGTGGATCTGTTGTTGATCTGTTGTGATCTGTTGTTGATCTGTTATTGATCTGATGCAGCAGGAGTAACATTTGTCACATCAGCAGCGGCTCAGGTTAAATCTTGTTTTCTTTTTTCCCAATATACATCTGTAATTGATCCGTCTGTGTTATATAAACACGTTTAACAGATTTACGTTGTCAGCTAAATATTGTTGGGACGCTCGTTGTGTGTGTGCAGAAAAACACTGAAATGTAATCTATTAGAAAAGTTATATACTGTAATATTCAGATAAATGTCTGAACCAGAGAGGAAACTAAATTTAGACGGACTGGAGGAGATCTGGGTCGAGAGGAACACTCTTCATTAAAACTCATTTATTACAGGGTTGTTTTTTCATTGTTTCATTGAAATACATTACAAATAGATTATTCAATTCAGATAATTATAATATTTTACAAGTCAATATTATAATGCATTATAGATAAATATGAGAAAACAATTATCTTTTCTATGAATTAAAGTCAAAATTATGAGAATTAAATGATTAAAATACTTACAAAAAAGCTATTTTATGATAAAATCTCGAGCTGTGAAAATTATCATTTGTTAAAAAACCCAAATATTATGATAATGACTTGAGTGAATCCACTAAAAAGTCAATATTTTGAGGAAATATAGTGAGAATAAAGTCTAAGTTGTACAAGAAAAAGTAAAAATTCAGATTTTCTTATGACTTTTTAAAATCTCTACCAAAGTGTTTTGGTAGTAAAGATGACATAGGTAAACAATAATACATATAAAATACTTTTCATTTCTAAAATATATTCTTTAAACACTGTTTTCATTTACACCTTTGCATGCAGGAACACAGGTTTGGAGGAGTGTCGCTCTTTTGTGTCTCCTCACACACACAGCTGTATTTACACACCTGTGTTTGAACCTGTCATTCACACAGAGCAGGAACTAGCGCTACGTTAGCTTAGCACAAAGACTGGAAGCGGAGGGAAACTGCAAGCTTTAACAAAAGAGAAAACACGCCTTCCAAAAACAACTTTATTTATGTCGCACCTTTCAGACAAAGTTACAAAAGTGCTATCACATGGAAACAGAACACATTTAATACACATGAAGAATTAAATATAGAGGAAATAAACGAAATATTAAGCATAGAGACTAAAACCAACAAAAAATGATGAAACAAACATGAAATAGTTTAGTTTTAAAAGTGATTAAAAGGTCCCATATCATGGTCATTTCTACTGATCATAATTCCATTGTTGAGGTCTACTAGAATAGATTTACTTTGTTCAATGTTCCAAACTCTCATTGGTTTTGCATCCAGCATCTCTGTATAGTGTGTGTATTCACTCTCTGTCCTACATGGCTTGTTGGAGCTCCTGCCCCCCCCTCCCTGTGAGCCCACTGTGCTCTGATTGGTCAGCTCGCCCACTCTGTTCTGATGAGTCCACCACCGTTACAGCTGAACATCAGTGTTTATGTTTTACAATGGCGTTTGTTAGCAACCAGAAAATGACACCAGTAATGACAAACAGATGAGAATGCTGCGTGGGGTCTGGGAGCCGTGTTGGCGGGACGTTGCGGGGCTCGCTGCTGCGAGGAGCGGACAGTGTGAGCTGGGTTACTGGTGTCGTTTCCTGGTTGCTGCGTGGGGTCTGCGAGACAGCGA